GCTGATAACTGTTTCCGGTGAAACAGCTAGCATTATGACTTCTGTGAAACAGTTCTGCTCATTATGATAGAACAAACAGTTCTGCTTATTTTGATAGAATATCTTTTCAAAAACCATTGCCCTCCCATGTGGTGCATTTCAACATCCTTAATTGGCAATGAAATTGCACAAAAAAGCACTATAAGGATTTTTATCTTCTCATAGATATAGTTGTGCATGCTCACTTCTGTTTCTGGAATTAAAGCAAGTTTGGTTATAGTATGAAGTGCAAACTGAGTTTTTGGGTGATTTCGGTCAGATCACCGCGCAAATCCACAATAATTGTCTCAGGTGAACATGAAGTAATTTGATATTCTTGATCTTGCCTTGATCTCTAAATTAATGTATTCTAGAGATTTTTTTACACCAATTTAGACTTCTATAAATCTTTCTAATCCTTCCTTCCAAATGGTGAGCCCCTAATTCTAATATGTGAGATATGGCACTACCAGTAGGTATTTTTCTCAAGAAAGAAAAACAGAAGTGTTGAGCAAAATGGGCTTACTTGGCCCTTTGTAAGATTCCATGAATAATGCAAGGTAATATAAACACCATGGCAGGAAATAATTTCAGTCTAAACCAGTGGAAAAATACTAGAGAATAATTGAGTAAATGTTGATTTGAATGTTGGTGTTTTTAAAAATTTAGCATAATAAAAGTGAGAGGCCAGTTAAAACAGTAATTGTCAAGTCAAAGATATGATCCTTTGGGTTTGTCAATATGGTAAATAAATATGCTTATAGAGACAATTACTTCAATTATTCTGAACATAGGATAACATCCATGAATCAAATGCTAAGTTATAGCTATACCTTTGGATATTTCCTGCAAAAATATAACTCTGTTGTGCATATATACAAAAGGAAAAGATGTAGGTGTCATATCAGTGCATATTAAGAATACTATCCACCTTGCTACCGTAGTAGAAAATGGCATTTCTTTTGAGTATTGTAGATATGAATTACATTATGCTACAGAATAAATACAGAAAAGGGACGTGGTGGCTCAGAGGCTAAGATGCTGAGCTTGTTGATCAGAAGGTCGGCAGCGGTTTGAATCCCTAGTGCCGCATAACGGCAGGATCTCCCGTTACTTGTCACGGCTTCTGCCAACCTAGCAGTTTGAAAGCATGTAAAAAATGCAAGTAGAAAAATAGGGACCACCTTTGGTGGGAAGGTAACAGTGCTCAGCGTTTAGTCATGCCGGCCACATAACCACGGAGACATCTTCGGACAGCACTGGCTCTTCGGCTTTGAAACGGAGATGAGCACTGCCCCCTAGAATCAGGAATGACTATCATGCACGTGCGAGGGGAACCTTTACCTGTACCTTTACCTTTACCTTACAGAATAAATGTGAATTCTAGTCCTGCCTTAGGCATGAAAGCTGGTTGGGTGGCTTTGGATTGGTTACTCTCAGTCCAAACCCACCTCACAGACTGGCTGTTGTGGGGAAAACATGACATAGGATTACAGGTAATCCCAGGGGTGAAATGCTCCCGGTTTGGACCAGATCGCAGGATCCGGTAGCGATGGTGGCGGGTGGTTCAGAGAACGGGTAGCAAAAATCCCTGCCCCCCCCATGCCCAGCTGAGCCGCACGATCATCAGAGGCTTTTTTTTTTACTTTTAAAAGCATTTTTTCTACCACCTCTTGTGAGGAAAAAATGCTTTGAAAAGTAAAAAAAAAGCCTCTGATGATCGCATGGCTCAGCTGGGATCATCAGAGGCTTTTCAAAGCATTTTTTCTGCAACCTCTTGGCCGAAGAGATGGTAAAAAAAGTCTCTGCCGATCCTAGCTGAGTTGCCTGATTGGCAGAGATGCATTTTTTAAAGAGCCTCTCTGACAATCCCAGCTGAGTTGCCTGATGGCAGAGGCTTTTCAAAGTATTAGAAAAAATGCTTTGAAAAGTTAAAAAAAAAATGGCCACGTCCACCATCACATTAACCCCCCACTAAGCCACGCCCACAGAACCGGTAGTAACAAATTTTACATTTCACCCCTGGTTAATCCTCACTTAACAACATTTAATTAATCAAGATGCAAAGATATTTACTGCCATTATAAGTAATAGATTAAGTAGATTTATAGATAGATATATAAGTTATAACCAAGTAGGCTTTGTGAAGGGTAGATACATGAATGATATTGGCAGAAGAGTATTAAATATTATAGATGTTGCTGAATATAATGCTGATAAAATAGGTATAGTATCATTAGATATTTTTAAAGCTTTTGACTGTACAATGGGAAACTATTAAAACAATCGTTGAGGTACTAGGTTTTGGTAATAAGTTTATACATGTTATTTCAAAACTGTATCAAAAAAGTAGTGCAAGAGTGAAGGTGAACGGAAGGTTGACAGAAGAGATAAGATTGGAAGCGGGTACGAGACAAGGATGTCCCCTGTCTCCAACATTATTTTTATTAGTTATGGAAATTTTGACTAAAATGATAGAAAAAGATGAAGAATTGGAAGGGTATAAGGGATATAAGATAAATCTGTATGCGGATGATACTTTGATTATTTTTAAAGATATAGAGAAAGATTTGAAAAAGAAATATAAGCATTTGGAAGAATTTGAGGAAATGACAGGTTTGAAAATAAATTGGTCAAAATCTGAACTATTAATGAATAATAATGGTAAGGAGTGGGAGAATATGCAAGAACAACTTGGGATAAGGATTAAAAATACATTGAAATATTTGGGCATAACACTTTCATTCAAAGTTACAGAAATGAAAAAACTAAATTATGACGTGATGAATGAAATTGAGAAAAAGATAGATAAATATAAAATGATAAAGTTGTCTTGGTTTGGTAGAATTGCAATGTGTAAGATGACAAAGTTTAATTTTTTATTTGAGATGTTACCGTTAAACTTGACAGAGAAAGATATTGAAGGATATCAGAAGAAATTGGATAAATTTTGCAATGGTGGGAAAAGACCTAGATTAGTGAAGAAAATGTGGTATCAAAATCAAAAGGAAGGTGGATTGGGAATCCCCAAACTACTCAATTATTATTGGGCTTATGCTATTAGGACTGTGGTAAAAATATTTAAAGGTGAAGATAGTCATTGGAGATATTTAGAATTAAAAGACATCAAGAGATTTGGCTCAACATGGTTTTTAGATAAAGCCAAATCAAAATGTGTAATTAATAGCTATTGGTTAAAGGGATTGAGTAAAATTTGGAATAAATTTGTTAAAATTTTAATTCCAGATATAATTTTCTTAGGGAAGACAATTGAAAATTGGCCGATTAAAACTAATATAAGTCGTGATAGGGTAATGGAAGATGAAAATATACAAATTATAATAGATTGGTTAAAAACTTCAGAAAATGAAAGGAGGAAAAAAGAAATCATTGAAAAATTGGGTTTAGGCTGGTTTGAAAAAATACAGATGGAAAAATGGACTAAGAAAGTAAGGGACAATTGTTCGATAAGTAGAAGTAAAACTGAATTTGGACATTTAGTATTCCAAATTATGAAAGATGAAATTAGGCTAAAGGGACTCGTTAGTAAGATATATAAGATTATAAATTTTGATGGAAAATCACAAAGGGTGATGAAGTTGAATTGGGAAAAAGAACTTAATATTAAAATATCAGATTTAGATTGGAATGTGAATTGGAAGAGTAGAATTATGAAGACTTTATCTGTAAGGATTAAAGAGCATAATTATAAGGTTGTTTGGAAATGGTATTTGACTCCATTAAGATTGTCATTGATGGATAACAAAATTAGTAAACAATGTTGGAGATGTGATATGGAATTAGGGACTTATGAACATATATGGTACAAATGTGATAAAGTTAAAAAGTTTTGGCAACAATTGGAGAAAATGATATTTGAAATGATGGGGAAAGCAATAATATTGATACCAGAAACTATATTACTGTTGATAATTAAGGAAATAGAACCAACAAAATATGAGAAAAAATTGATTAGAATTATGATTATAACGGGTAGAATTATAATAGCCAGATATTGGAAATTAGATGTGAATTTTAGAATAGAAGAAAGGTATTGTGAAATGTGGAAATTAGCTTTAAACGATAAAATGACATGCGATATTAAAATTAGAAATGGTGACTATAAAGAAGATATTTTCTGGAAAATTTGGAAACCATTCGTGGACTATGCGCTGGGAAAATTGGATGGTTGGTACCTGTACCCCGAGAACGTGGATTTTGGCGATCATGAGGATATATCCGAAGAACCAAATCTTCCTTTCTTATGTATAGCACAGGGTGAAGTATTGTATATGTTGTTTGTAATGTTATTTAAAAAAAAAATTAATAATTTTTTTTTTTAAAAAATCCTCACTTAACAACATTTATGGCAGATTTCAAGAAAACTAGTTAAGCCACAGTAAACAACCCAAACAAACAACAAAAAACACAAGTAGAGGCAGATGTAGGGTCTCCTGCTTGGGCAGGGGGTTGGATTTCCTTCCAACTCTGTTAATCTGTTAAGGGAAGCCACTTGAATATAAAACTGAGCAAACCCCATTCCCTACTAGCACTGATGATGTTACCTAGTTTGGGTAATGAAGCATCTGCAAGAAAACAAGCTTGGGGAACCCCCCCATTTTATTTTCCAATGCAAATCACGTAAGAGTTCGTACAGTATTGTACCATCAAACCCGGAAAAAAAAATGCCTGGCCCCTTAAGGGATTTCGGATTTTAATTAGAATCCGTGAGAGATGGAAAGGTGAAGAGTGACATTCACCGACTTTCCTTTTCCAACAGATATATATATATATTTTTTGCATAGGAAACCCGGAAGTGTCGTATTCAGACGAGGCGCCGCTCTACAAACGACACCGCACAGATACCTTCGTAAGGAAATTACGGGTGGGGGAGGAGCCTGAGCAGCTCAGGGGAGGCGGGGCTCGTTTCGTCAGAGGCTTCCCCCTCCTTGCCGAACGCAGTTGCCTAGCAGCGCGGGTGGGCGGGCCTGGACGAAGCCACCTCCCCCGGCGACGGTATGGCGGCAGCCATGGCGGCCAGCGAGCAGAGAGCAGAGCGTACCGCGATGGGAGAGGGGCAGTCGCTGTCGTCCTTGGCGCGAACGTCGCTCTTTCTTTTGCTCCTGGCCTTTCCGCTTCGGGGCCAGCTTTCAGACGGTGAGGCGGGAAAGGCGGTTAAACGGCGTGCGCCAAGTAGCGGCGGAAAAAGCGGCGAGTCCGGGGTCGGCTGGGAAGATTGGCTGGAGGAAAGTCACGCTGTCCCATCGGCTCCCCCAACCCCTTTCTATAAGCCTTGGGCCACCTGCTTCTCTCTGCCCTCTCTGCCCCGTAGACGGCTTGGACCACGCACCTATTGTCCACAGCCCGGCGGAGTGGCCGTTCTGGTTGGGGACGATGGGGCTTGTGCCTCTACATCCGGAAGGCTTCCGCCTCTTTTGTTCCGCCTCGCCCGGTGAATCTTGGCGCTGTCGAGAACGGGAGCCTCTCCGGCATAGGAGGAGGTTTCTGGGGAGGAAAGTGGCGCTTCCTTGCTTTTTGTTGGTTCGGACGGGTCTGCCTGGGTTGCCCCTAAACCTGGCTCCCGCCTAATTAACAAGTTCTGTATAAATATTATAAAGGGATAATAATAATAGTACAGAACTGCGCACAACGGCTCTGAAAAAGGCAGAAATGTTTTTAAACATTTCTGCCTTTCTCAAACACACTACGTAGCTACACACATTGTGAATGTACGTATGTAGAGAATGAGACAAATTCTGCTGCTTCCTCTTTTGGTTCAACTGCTGTTATGTCCCTATTTGTGTAATGGAGGGAATTGCATGACTTTGCAGGGATTCTAACCGTCCTTTTGAGTAATGTGTGTGTGTTTATACATACGTGCACCTAAGTTGTAATGCTGTTTAGTTTTGAGGCAAGTTAAATGGCTGGGTATCTGGAAAGGAAAAGACAAGAAGGCAACTTCCCTGTATTCTTAATTCTTGCTACTTAAGCATGGAGTAAAGGTTAGTTCATAGAATAATTACACAATTTATTTATTTATTATTATTTATTTATTAGTTCGATTTATATGCCGCCCTTCTCCGGAGACTCAAGGCGGCTTACAATGCATTAAGCAATAGCCTTCATACTTTTGTATATACCTGCTTAGTAGGGCTTTCGGGGCCCCCTAAGCGGTGTTCTATTTTATACAAAGTCAGCTTATTGCCCCCACAATCCGGGTCCTCATTTTACCTACCTCGGAAGGATGGAAGGCTGAGTCAACCTTGAGTCTGGTGAGAATTGAACTCGCTGTAATTGCAGGCAGCTGGCAACTAAGTGCTACTTTAACAGCAGCAGTTTAGTCTGCTGCGCCACCAGGCTCCTATGAATAGTTCTTGGGTTGATATTATGCACATTTGGGCATTGGGAACTTGGTTAGTGAACCCATTTCAAGAAGAAAGGGTAGCTTGGCAATCCTGTTCGATAACCTCATTCATTTCCTAGCTACGTTTATAGGGTAACATGATACAGAAACATAATATTATTAAATATAATTGTAGATAAGAACAGATTCCAGTACAATTTAAGTACCCGTTAAGAAAAAATCTTTTAAACTGCAAATCGGAAAATAGAATAGCTAATTTCTAAAAGCAGCCATAATGTTGTCAGTTGTGTATCTTTCAGGAGGCAATTTAGTAGCGTGATGTCATCACTAGGAAAACTCTTATTTCTAATGCCATTTGTATGGATATTAGTGGTAGACTCATTAGCAGCCTATTCATAATTGATGTTAAACACAGTCTCATATGAATGTAAGCTATTTTCCAAATAGCTTTTATAGATTATTTTTAATCCTACCTTTATTATTCTTATAAATAGCTCAAGGCAGTGAGTGTACCTAATACTGTACTTCCTCCTCCTCCTATTTTCCCCAAAACATCAACTCTGATGTGAGTTGGTCTGAGAGTGAATGACTGGCTCAAAATCATGTGGCCGGTTTTCATGCCTGAGGCAGGACTAGAACTCACAGTCTTCTAGCCTGATGCTTTAACACTAAACAAGTGATGACAAGCCTTTTGGGCGTATCAAAATATTATTAAGTTAAGTTCCAGTTTGCATTCTATCATTGATGTAAAAACCATATCCAAGCAACTATTCAAGACACAAAGTCTCTCTGATGTTAGTAGATTAAAAATATTTGTATATATTGTATCTGAGATGCTACATACTTGAATTCTAGTAGACATGGAGCATGGAACAGAATGAAACTTTGTGCTACCTTACAGAACAAAGGTCACAAAAATAAGAATCCTTCAGCTCTATATAAAATTGGATGGATAATATAATCCTGTCCATAAAACCAACTCAGTCTAATGGATGCAGCAACCCAGCACCTGATATTAACAGTCAGTAGATATCCTGGAGAATTAACAGAGTTTTTATTTTTCCTTTTCATTTCACAATTTGTGTCATTAAGTAATACAGTGATTAAGGCAACCAAGCCTATCCCTATTGAGGAAATTCCCATTTAAAATGATAGACACTGAATTGCTAGGGAGGGTCTGCCTTTGTCCTTTTCCTGAATACCAAGGACTCCAAGCTTAGCAGTCTCTTTGCTCTCTGGGAAAAAAATGGTTTAGTTATTAAGACAAGTTTATTATGGTAAGTGAATGAATTTGCTGACAAAATTACTGCATTTAATTGTGTAATTAACACTTTAGTGTTACTTATAATACTAAAATACACAAGGCAGATCAGACGTGTTCATTTATCCTCTTGTAGTGTACACTTGTAGTGTATTTTAACAAAATTTACCAAAAATATCCCCCTGAAATTGATTAATTTATATTGATGTAGCCCAACATACTGTATTATGCATGTTTTTAGGTTAATAATCTGTAGGAACAGTTCTCCTATAGTCTCCTTCATATGTGCCATTTAAATGCCTTCTTTTCTGATACATTATTCTAATACTTATCTCAGTTCTTAACTAGAGTCTTCTAAGGTGTAGTTACATAAAATGCTAGGGGTTCACCAAGAATCACAACCTGAACATTTCATGGTAAATGGGAAGCAAGTTCATTGGCTTTGGAGCTTATTTCTTAATTTCTTTTTCACAAAGCTTTTCTTCTTAGTTGACCATGTCAAAACAAAGAAAAGACGGTCTTTTGCTTCCCATTTACCATGAAATGTATGCAAATAAATGTGTTCATTTTAATTAAATATGAATCAAGTAGCTTCTCTTTGAACTGAAGAAAAATCATGAGGCCAGAAACTGATCTTATTGATTTCTGTAGTTCTATTTTAAATACAGCCCTGGATCTAATTCATTATCTGACTGACACATAAATCATAATAGGTGGGGTCATATACCAAGCTAAGCAAAAAACAAACCAATGAATTATTTGTGGATCAGGATTTAATCAATTTAAGTAGAAGCAATGTTAATAGTAATATAGATACAACCTATGTCATATAAGTCATGAGATAGTGTTGATATGGAAAAATGCCTTGTGCAGCTGTATCTTGTTTTCACAAATTTCTGTGTTGCTTGTTATATATACACACACATGTATATTTCTGCTTATAACAGGCACAACTCTGTTTTCCTAAAGGATTCAATACTTAAAATAGTAACTATTTTAAGCAAATTTCTATTGTAGTCTATCAGTTTTTTGTTTTTGATATGCTAAATGCTAGTTTTTAGTCTTCCGTGTTTTATTTGCTATAAATTTTGAATGCATGTTTGTCAGCTGAGATATGATTAATCCTCAAACCATAACAGTTTGTGTATCCTTGTACACTGTAAAATTATTTGTTAAAGATTTCAAATTATTCTTATCTTTCCCTCTTCAAGATGCTACACCTAATGCAGAAATACCTCAGAACTTTAAGTCAATTCATAAGGATGAAAAAGAGAATTTATCCTCAATTATGTCTGCAACCGGTGAGAACAGCATGAGGAATAAAACGATTGAAGATACGATCCCAACTTCTTTGAAAGTCAATGTTTCTGCTGTACATGCATCCACTCTAGCAGAAGATAAAGTAGTCCAACCTCCTGTGTCACCTTCAGAAACTGTTAGTATTAATCAACAAAATATCGATGTTTCAGAAGATGCAGATAGTAAAGAATATGACATGACAGACAGAAATATATTTACTAGTTCCCTACCAACAGCAAAAGAACCTAAAGATTATGTCATCTATGATCTAGCTTCTAACTCTCAAAATAATCAAGATGACCAAGATGTATCAGAATTTGCAGAAGATTCAAGTATGACGAACTTCGAGAATAAGAAGTCATTTGCTCATAACATGAAGGATGCTACAGTCTCAGGATTGGAAGATGACAGTCATTTCTTTTTTCATCTTGTTATTTTTGCCTTTTTGGTTGCTGTAGTTTATATCACATATCACAATAAAAGAAAGGTAGGATGGGCTTTTTAACAGTTTTCAGTTTAATATTAATATTAGAATATTGTTATTTTGAAATAAATTTAGAAGCAGTTAATTAGCTTATTGGTAAATTTTATACACTGAAAATCTAATACCCTGTTTCCCCCAAAATAAGACATCCCCTGATAATAAGCCTAATCGGGCTTTTGAGCGCATGGCAATAAGGCCAAGCACTTATTTCAGGGTTCAAAAAAATATAAGACAGGGTCTTATTTTTAGGGAAACACAGTACTCAGATATCAAATCTTTTTTTATTTTCTTGATTATTCTGGAAAATAAGGGCTAAGCAAAGTTGAATACTATAAATTATAAAATGCAAAGTTGCAAACTTCAGAAAATTTCAGATTAAATAGGTTTCTAAGGCAGAATAGTGAATTTATAAGTAGTTGTTAACCGGTTTGAAATTAATCTTTTTACACAGCATTTCTAATAATTTTGCAAAAATACAAATCTAAGCAAGTCAGGAAAAATAAATTTTAGGCAGAAAGCTCCACGTAAATGTTCCAGCATGTTATGAATTAATGTGCAAATTAACAGATTACATAAATTATGAAATATTATCATAAATTTTAAATTTGTTTTTCTGAGACATGTAAATTCGTTTAAGTATCATTGGTATTCATGGCTTCCTTTTATTTATTGTGGATTTTTAATCTGACATGATGAATTGATGACAAAATTACTTATTCAAGGTGGCAGAGTGGTCTTTGTCCATAAACCTATTTAAATCTGAGATTTGTCTTCCTCTATCAGTAGTTATATTTTCTACTATATCTGCACTGATATAGAAAGCTTCTTTGTTACAATCTTTTAAAGACAGCCAATTTTTCTGTTGAAGATTTTTTTAAAATTTTAATCAGAAACATGGATTTTTATATCTTAAGGACCTGCTATTGGTAATGTATTTTAACTATTTTAGATTCACAAATCAACCTAGACTAGGGCAAATTAAAAAATACAACATGGAAGTAAAAATCCTTTCTCCCAAATCGTCACTCAGTTTCACTACTAGATATTGGGTTTCTATTGCAGTTTATCTATTGTTATAGTCTCAGTATAATTGGGGTCTTGTTGAATGGCATAAGGATATATATCAGGGCTTATCATTCATTTCAGCTCTTTTTTAACTGCAGCAGGTCAGGTTTGTCCTAGTGTAAAGCTGGCATCAATTTATAAGAAATGTTTGATAGTAAATCATTTTTGGCTCAAGTTATAAATAGACAAAATCAACCAAAATATATTTTATGTAATTAACGCTATGAAACTTACCAGTCAAGGATAAGGTAGGCAGTTTGCTTAATAACACAAATAACCTTGTTATTACAGACCTAAAAGATTTGACGTGAATATGAAGTTTTCATGAAAAGTATATAAAATTTGCAAAGAATAATCTGAAAATATTGTTATAAATCTTTTTAAATATTTAATTTAATATGATCTTTTCTTTTCAGATAATTTTGTTGGTTCAGAATAGAAGATGGCGAGATGGCTTGTGTTCCAGAACAGTTGGATATCAACGTTTAGATCAAAATGTGAATGAGGCTATGCCTTCATTAAAAATTACTAATGAATATATTTTTTAAAAGTAGCATGACCCAAATGTGCAGAATTAGGAATTTTCATTGCCTCTCAAAATATAATATGAATGATTGCCATAAGCAGTGATGTGTGTACTCTATTTTTACTTTGAAGGTTTTAGCCTTATATGAGGATATGCAAAGTAAATGTTTATTTTGGTGAAAGTTGGACTTCATTATTTTTGTACATACAGCTTATTGTTCAGTTGATTTATTTTTCATCCATTTTCTGCCTGGAGCAGTTAATAGTCCTAGCTGCAACTTTTCCAATTGATCAATATACAGCATATTAAAGAATGTACCAGATTCCCTATTTGGATAATTGACCTTGTTTCTCTCTTAATTCAAACTGCTTAATACTACATAGAGTGTATTAATATAATTCTAGCCAAATGATTTCTTAAAAGATTATGCTAATATTCCTTCTCTAGAACATTTGCATAGAGACATGTTTTAAAAGAATATGATTTCTTTTTCACAAATTGCCTATTTATTGATTTTACACAATTTAGAAATAGGATGTCTGGTGATTCTGATCTTAGTTTTTCTTAGCAAGAATAATTCTGTGTAATACAAGAAGGCACCGTTCAGAATGAAGACAAAATTTTTCTGGCTAGAAAGTGCCAAAAACTGTTTACTCATTTGTTTTTTCCATATGAAATAAGGTTTGTGAAGGCATATCTTTGTAGTAGGTAAAACTGAATGTTGAAGGGAGGTAAATCTGAAAACAAAGGTTGCATCCAATTGTGTCATTCTGCCAACAAGTGCAAGATGAACATAGATGGCAGAACTGATTCCTTTTTCCTCTTTATTCCCACTCTATGCCTCCTCAAAGTTCTGGAGAAAATTTAACATAGTGCAAAGTATGGATATAAAAAGAATGGAAAATTCCACTGTATTAGTTGACTATTATGGATGTTGATTTGAACAATTTAAATTGCTTAGGTATAAATACAGCATAGTAATTAGTTGCATGTAGTAAAAAAAAAAAAAAGAAACCCAGGATTTGAAGCCGGGATTTGATGCCCATCTTTAGAGAATACTGCACCATTTTCTTTAACTTTGAAAATTTCTTCTACTTGAAATGAGTGGCAAATTACTGGTATGATTGCATTTTTTTTTTGAATGCATATTTTGCTATTTATAATGATTGACATAAATTTTAAATATTTGTTAGCAGTTTTACTTACTGTAAAAATACTGTTTGTGAACTGTAACTACCATAGGGCTGAAAAACATGTAAATACTAATGACCTTATTTTCAAGTGATGCAATGTTATGAAAACTTTTGAACTCTGGACTGAGAAAATTTGCAGTGAGCATGGTATTAGTAAATTAAGCAACAGAGCTTTTTAATTTAGTATTCTTAAATGTAAATAAGTGAAATACAGAAATACATGTAAGACTGTTTTCTTTCAGAATTCTTATGAACTTGACTCATTTTTAATAGAATCTTTCAAATAAACCCTATAATGTTGTAACTAGCTTGATTTGTATACCCTTGCAAAAATAATTTGGTGACATGCATAGAACATTTAACAGTACAATTTCAATCAGGTGAAGGCCAGCTGTTTATGTCACATTCTTATTTTTGAAATTTGAAGCTTATTTTGTCCCAGAGTTCACTGGAAATTAAAAAATCATTCCTTCTTTTTTTGATAGAACCTGGAAAAAATTTCAAGTATAGTACAATTTCTGGAGGATAAAACTGGCAAATTACAGAATAACATCTGGAAGACTTTTATGTGAAAGCCACTTCAATTTGAAGGAATACTTAAAAAGATTTGATAATTTTTAGGATAAATAAGTTTGTGTGTATACATGTTAGTATAAATAAATAGCAGCTCCCATGTAGAGACATGGGTCAATTTCAAGCTGATACAAAGTTATCATTGTTTTTTTAACTAGTGAGGAAACCATAGCTCTGTGTAAATAACATGGATTAATGTATTTGCCATTAATTATTCCTTAGATATGGATCTGATAGTTCATACCATAGTAAGAAAATCCTTGCTTATATTTTTAGATAAGTCTTATCTTGTCCCTAGTTTATATATACCAATAGTGATCTTCACTTGGGTTGTTGTATAGATACTGTTTTTAAAAACATTACAGCCATCAGAGATTTCTCTCCTACAAGAAATGGGGAGTACCTTATGAGTAGTTTGTCGTTTTGCCATTTTCTGTCAGCTTTCTACATCTGCTTTAGAATACAGATCAAGATCTATAAACTTTCATATAATTACTCCAAGATTTGCATATTCTCTAATTAAAGTTGCCTGTCTTTGTATATCACCAGAATCACCACTGATTGGCAGATATCAACTAATAATGAATGGATATACATCTCCTTTCTATCTCGTGGCTCACTAAAGTTCTTGTCTGAGCAAACAGTGTACAAGACCCATGTTTTGATAATTAATGGAATAATTAAAACTAGGCTTCTAGACTGAGATGCTGTTAGGGATGCTCAAAAGTTGTGACATGCCTTGGGGATTGTAAAGATATTTTGGTTACTTTAATATAATTTATATATGCTTGGTAAGTAACTACATAAATATAACTTTTTAACATTTTGTTGGTTTCATTTCACAGGTTCAGCTGTCTTTCTCTTTTTTTAAATGTTTTGTCTTGAGTTAATACTTCTGGTTTTGTTTCCTGTGAATGTGATAACTGATCTGTAATGGCTTCTAAAAAAGGAACAAGACTGGGAACATTCACTCATATGATCAACCTAATTGGGACTGGCAGAGACTTGTTGTCTGAACTCCCAACATTACGAGACCTTGTCAGATATGGCCTACTGTTAAGAGAACAAAGTAGTGATGATGCTAAAAACTACCCAGCAGCCAGTCTTGCAAGAGACAAATATCCAAAAGTGCTTGAAAAGTGGAAATGAGCAAACAGTTCTTTTGTGACCCCTGTTGTAAGTTAATGAGTGGCAATCTTGAACAAGTTCCAAGAGAGCTGGGATCAAGCCAGAAACCTATCTCTTGGTAGAGGCAAGCTAGATGTCACTGTGAAACTTGACAATCCACATCTGCAAGTGTCAAATTGTTCTGTATGCCGAATTTTGTTGCCCTGGTGGCTGCAAAAAAGAAGCTCACATTAACTGTACCTGCCCTAAGGAGACGAAGATACCATTGAAGGAATTTGCTTTTGTTAAAGCGAGTGTGGCCCACTGGCGGCCAGCGGAGCTGGCAACAGAGTCAAATGGTGAGGAATTGGGGAGGAACATGGGCCAGTCCTGGGGGCTGGAGAAAGCTCGGACGAGGGCTCTGCGTTGGAGGCAGAGAGGGAGCTAGACGGCAGTGAGGCAGAGGAATAGCTGGAGCTCTTTCCCAATGTGCGCATGCGCAGAGCTGCCAGAAGACAAGAACAATTCAGAAAGCAGGGTTGACTTGGGAGTAAATCCACACCTTGGAGATTATTGGCCCCTCCCATAGGAAACAAAAGAGCGAATGGGGAGGCGGCTTTTGCAGGAAACAATTCGGTTGTTTCAAGAATGGAAAGTTCTGTTCGTGACTCTTAAGAGACACTGTGCCAAGTTTTGCCTTACACTGCATCTGGAAACGTTATGTGGCAGCTTGCCAAGCGAGATAAAGTGTGTGATAAATATTCCTTTGAAAAACTGGACAAGCCTTGCTGACTGTGAATGAAAGTAATTCACAGTTGTGTAAATAAAAGGTTTGGCCGGGACCAAGACTCTGCTTCCTGCTTTTTAAGGGTGCCTAGGTCAGAAAAGTTCAGAGAGACAAGATTGGTTCTTTTGGATTGCCCCAAATTGATTTGCCAAATGTGCCCAAGCAGAAATGTGCCTTTGTCAAAAGGCAAAAGCAGCAAGATGATGAATGACAAAGGCTTGCTAAATATAAACAGAAGTTTCCAGAGATTTTGATACTGACAAATGAAGTAATTATCTCTTATGTTGAAAATGAATAGATGACTGATGATGAAGATGTTATGGAACTTATCAAGAGCCCTTAGATCAAACACACATGCCCTCTTTTTCAAAGAAAAGACAGAATACTATAGATTAGAAATAACAAATGTCACTATGCAGAGCATAAGATGTGGTGTTGGTGCTGCCATTACCATGGCTGCCTTCATGGATGCTGCCTTGATCATCAAGAAGATCAGACTTGTAGTTGACCACAATAAAGTCAAGAGAGCCCAGGAATATGAATTCCCTAGATCCAAGAATTTGATGAGTTCTGTAAGAAGGGCAAAATAGAATAGACCGTCTTCTTTGACTGTCGTATAGATTCAACTAAAGTTAGGCTGAAAGCAAACAATTCAGACCAGCAATTCCCCAGTACCATCAAAGAAGAACTTTATTCTTTGTGCAGTGAGCTGGGTGGAAGGTATCTTTATCATTTCACTCCAGATAAAGGTGAAAAACAGGAAGACCTGCTCAAATGATTGCAGATAATCTGGTGTATGTCATGATGAAGAACGGCATTGACAAAAGCTTGAAGGCCATTGGAGGAGATTCTACAAATGTTAATACTGGCTGTGAAAGTGGTGCTCTGCACTGGATAGAGGTCAAGCTTGACTGGAAGTCGAACTGATTGATGTGTGCACTCCACATGAATGAGTTATCCCTACAACACATAATCACAAAATTGGATGGGAAGATTTTGTCTAATAACAAATGGGCATGTAAAATTGGCAATGTGAGAAATAGCTGTTGTTGAGTGAAATAATTTTTTATATTTTTAATGTAATAAAAGCTTAATAAAGTATATTGGAAAAAAATTGGCAACGTGCTAGACACTGCAACAGAACTTGACATTGATTCTTCATTCCCCAGAGTTTCAGCTGGTGAACCTCTCATTTCATTAAGCAACAGTATTGTAAAGGATCTCTACTGATCAAGCATATGGATAGAATCACACAGGCAATAAAGATAGGAGAACTTCCCACAGATCTGGCTCTTCTGGAAATTGGTCCTGTAAGCCATTCAAGCTGGTTGACAACTGCAAATAGGCTTTGTCAAATATGGGTTTCAAAACATGGCTCTAAAGGCAAAAGTCTCCAAAATTTAAGAATGATAGTGGAATACATTGTTGATGTGTATTAACCTTGCTGGTTCAACATCAAAGTAAAATTTCCTGAATTGAAGGCCCATATTGTGTTCCAGCTGCAGCAAATCAGACTGCAAAAGAAGGCTATAGTAGATGCTGTTTTGCCAACCATTCAGCATGGTACACTTTCAGTGAAATGATAATCCAGACACTCTTGTGTTCAGATGGTATTCAAGAGAGGAGAGCTTGTATGCAAAAGATCATTGACTTGAGGGGTGCAGATGATTAAGGGCTGGGAGATTTTTCTGTATGTGCAAGAAAAATGTCTTTAATCAACACCAGAGCATCCACTCTGCTGGAGCTGATTGACTGTCTGAAGGTATATATGAGCCACCTTTGATGTGCAAACTGACTATAGCGAAAATAAAGAAGTTCATTGATGAACCAATGCAAAGTACCACAGTGGCCCTGTCATGCCCAATCAATAGAGAGATGTATGAAACAGGTCACAGAAGCAGCAAGCAGAGTGTATACACATGAGAAACGTGAGGGTGATATCAGAGGCCAAGAAGCAAGTTGGCGGCTGATGTCAAAGAACGAATCAAAACAACTTGATGAAACTCAGATGCTTTTGTAACTCAGATAATTGCTTTCTGATGTTAGTTTATGATTACAGTGAATTTTTTTTGCTTATGTAGATAAGATTCATGCAGAAACACCCCCCCCCCCGAATTTTTGTAGCACAAGGTGTGATTTTGAGAAGATAAAGTTAACAGTATTTGGGTTACAAGAGATTTTTGTGGGTATATGATCAGATGTGGATTTACCATACCAAGCTAAATGTTGTGCAAATGCACAAACAACAGCGGATTTGAATTCTTGGTGTAATAACACATTTTTAGAATCCCTCACTGAAAAATATTGCAAAAATTAATTTTCAGCCCATTAATTGACACACCCAAAATTATATGTGTGTGCGTGTGTGTAATTAGTTTATAATATAAAATACAAAAGCAAAAAGGAAATATAGGGAAAGGAAAAAGAAAGAAAAGGCATTGACTTCCGACTCCCTTTGGTGCACTAGAATAAGTTAACATCAAACCTCAATTTTTTACTTTTAAATAACAATATAAACTAGCCATTTCTATAACAACAAATCTAATTGGTAAAGCCCAAAGTCAACATTTCATTTTTTTTCCACCTCAAACACAAAGTCCAGAAATTGTTTTGAAGTACCCTGTTTCCCCAAAAATAAGACATCCCCTGATAATAAGCCCAATCGGGCTTTTGAACACGTGCTAAAATAAGCCCCCCTTGAAAATAAGCCTTCCCCAAAAATATTTAAATGCATGTACAGCTGGTCCCTGCCATTTCCTCTGGTTTTCGCCATGCGCCCCAAAATAAGACCTCCCGAAAAATAAGGCCAGGCACTTATTTTGGGGTTCAAAAAATAT